ACTCATTTTATGAGCATAGTACTACCTTCATACCAAAAATGCTCCAATACAGTACAAAATAAGACAGCAATGAACAAATCACTATCTCTTATGAATTTAGAAACAAAAATCTTAAACAAAATACTAGCAAATAACCCCAGCAGTATAAAAAAACAGAACTAGGTAACATGATACACCTGGATTTCTTTTAAATACACTATGTGGGTTCAACATACAAAAATCAATCAACATAATCTACCGTCTGAACACGCTAAAGAGAAGAATCACATGATCATATCAATTGACACAGACAGGCATTTGACAAGATCCAACACGCATCCGTGATGCAAATTCTCAGCAAAATAGGAGCAAGAGACTGTCCTTAGTCTCAAAAAAAGGCACTCACCTGCAGGTAAGTGAGCACCATGCCGATAGTGAAGGATGGACCACCTTACATCTATGGCCGGAACATTGGAATACATACACTAATTTATCTTTTTGCTGCCTGTATACCTAGACAACTCATAATATTTCAGCTAAAAAAAAATCTCTTGGGGCAGCTGGGTGGCTCAGTCGGTTGAGCGTCTGACTTCGGCTCAGGTCGTGATCTCACAGTTTGTGGGTTCGAGCCCACATTGGGCTCTGTGCTGACAGCTCGGAGCCTGGCGTCTGCATCAGATCCTGTGTCTTCTCTCTCTCTCTGCTCTTCCTCCACTCATTCTCTGTCTCTCAAAAATGAATAAAAATGTAAAAAAAAATTTTTTTTGTAAAAGACATGGGGAGGCATGCCGTGTCTGTGCACTGGAAGACTAACCATAGCAAAGATGACAATGTCCCCCAAATTGATTTTTTCCTTAAAAAAAAGGCACATATGCAACTAATCTTTGACAAAGCTGGAAAGAATATCCAATGTAATAAAGACAGTCTCTTCAGCAAGTGGTGCTGGGAAAATTGGACAGCGACATGCAGAAAAATGAATCTGGACCACTCTCTTACACCATACACAGAAATAAACTCGAAATGGATGAAAGACCTAAACCTATGACAGGAAGCCATCAAAATCCTCAAAGAGAAAGCAGGCAAAAACCTCTTTGACCTTGGCCGCACCAACTTCTTACTCAACACGTCTTTGGAGGCAAGGAAAACAAAAGCAAAAATGAACTATTGGGACCTCATCAAAATAAAAACTTCTGCACAAGAAGGAAACAATCAGCAAAACTAAAAGGCAACTGATGGACTGGGAGAAGATATTTGCAAGCGACATATCAGATAAAGGGTTAGTATCCAAAATCTATAAAGAACTTATCAAACTCAACACCCAAAAAACAAGTAATCCAGTGAAGAAATGGGCAAAAGACGTGAATAGACACTTCTCCAAAGAAGACATCCGGATGGCCAACCAACACGTGAAAAAATGCTCCACATCACTCATCATCAGGGAAATACAAATCAAAACCACAATGAGATACCACCTCATGCCTGTCAGGATGGCTAACATTAACAACTCAGGCAACAACAGATGTTGGCAAGGATGTGGAGAAAGAGGATCTCTTTTGCATTGCTGGTGGGAAGGCAAGCTGGTGTAGCCATTCTGGAAAACAATATGGAGGTTCCTCAAAAAATTAAAAATAGAACTACCCTACGATCCAGCAATCACACTACTAGGTATTTACCCAAGGGATACAGGTGTGCTGTTTCGAAGGGACATGTGCACCCCCATGTTTATAGCAGCACTATTAACAATAGCCAAAGTATGAAAAGAGCCCAAATGTCCATCGATGGATGAATGGATAAAGAAGATGTGGTGTACATATACAATGGAGTATTACTCGGCAATCAAAAAGAATGAAATCTTCCCATTTGCAACTACCTGGATGGAACTGGAGGATGTTATGTTAAGCAAAATTAGTCACAGAAAGACAAATATCATACGACTTCACTTGTATGAGGACTTTAAGAGACAAAACAGATGAACATAAAGGAAGGGAAGCAAAAATAACATAAAAACAGGGAGGGGGACAAAACATAAGGGACTCTTGAATATGGAGAACAAATAGAGTTACTGGAGGGTTTGTGGGAGGGATGGGCTAAATGGGGGAGGGGCACTAAGGAATCTACTCCTGAAATCACTGTTTCACTAGATGCTAACTTGGATGTAAATTTTAAAAATTAATTAAAAAAATTTTTTTGATTAATCTTTAAAAAAAGATTTGCATGAGCAAAGTATTTGAATGGACACTTCACCAAAGAAAACATATAAGTGGCATAAAAACATGGGACAAATGTTCACTATTGTTAATCATCAGAGAAATGTAAATTAAAACCACAATGAGAAGGCACTGCACACCTATTAAAATGGCTAACACGAAAGAAAAAAAAGCAATCAAGTGCCAGCCAAGTGGTGAAAACACTGGAAGCCCCATAAATTGCTTCTTGGCGTATAAGATGGCATGGTCATCTTGGAAATAATTTAACATTTCTCCTAAATTCAAAGATGCACGTATTCCACAATCCAGTGATCCCATCCCTGGATATTTATGTATTTGCAAAGCAACCTTTCTGTGAATGTTTATAGCAAATTTGTTTATAATTTCATAAAACCGGAAATAATACATATGTCCATCAGTTTGTGAATGGATAAGTTATACATCTGTACAACAGAATGCTCTTCATCCGTGAAAAAAGAACAAGCCATCGACAGACAAGAAACACGAGCTAGACATCTATACGTCTGAAACCGGCATAGTGTTGGATGTCGATCATAGCTCAATTAAAAACTAATTAATTAATTAATAATTTTCAAAGTAGCAAATAAAAAAGAAAAGAAACAGCTGAATCTCAAACACACGACGATACGCATTTCCGGTGAAAAAAGCTGGAAACAAAGGACTGCCTTCTGCATGATTCATTCTGCGTAAAATTTTTAGAAAAGGTAAAATTATAGGAAGAGAAAAGCAAACAGTGGTTGCTGGTGTCTAAGGCTGGGAAGGGGAATGGCTTTCAAGAGACACAAGGGAACCTTTAGGGGGTGATGTACATGTTCTGTATTACGACTAAGGAGGTAAATGTATACGTGACTGTATTCATCTACCAAAACTCATTAAAGTTGGCTCTTACATCAGATAAATTATAAATTTAATTCAATTTCAGGTAAATTACAGTTCACTAAAGCTGATCTATAATTTACAATTTACATAAAATGAAGACAAAGAACTTTTAGAAAATCTGTACACACCGACACCAAGTTGGGAACCGAGAAAACGGTGCACAACATGGACAATTTGATAAGGGGCAAGCAGGGGAACGTTCTGGAGTCACACTGGCCTTCGTGGGCCAAAGCAAGCGTTCATCAGCATTGTGCTCCAGCCGGGGTTCCAGGGATCCAGGATGCCTGAATCACTGGAGGGCCTCTCAGAATCAGAATCTCCAGACTCCAGGCCCTAGACCGACTGTCGTTTGGGGACGTTCACCAGGCGATTCTACGGTCTGGTCCTGAACAGAATCAGCTCACGTTGTGCAAGGACTCATGCATGGGACCCTTTAACCCAAATCCACTTAATGATCTGGTGCTAAAACTGCTGGATGAAACATTCCGTGCTTGGGAATTATATATATATATATATATATATATATATTTAAAGTAGGCTTCACGCCCATTGCAGAGCACAACATGGAGCTTGAACTCATGACCCTGAGATCAGGGCCTGAGCTGAGATCAAGAATCGGATGCTTAACCGACTGAGCCACCCAGGCACTCCACGGTGCTTGGGAATTTCACGTGCCATGGCGAGAGGGCTGCCCAGGGCATCTGAGGACGTGGATGAAGATTGTTGGTGGGGCAGGGGGTCAGCCTGCAGGAAGTCCATGGCACCCAGACTAACCATGATCCTCAGCACACAGGTGCTCTTTGCTCAGAAAGGCTAGCTCTGAACACGGAGGAGGTGTCAGAAAACATGTTTTCTTAGAGGGTGACTTACTGACATACCAGTTGTTGTGTTTCTCTTTTTTCCCTTGGTTGCAAATAGACGTTTCCAAAGCAGAAGCCCTGGATGTGTTCCTGACTCTTGCTAGCAGGGCTGCTGGTTATGAGCCATCTGCACGCTGTGCACATGTCCACCCAGCTCTCCCAACAGGGGGCTTTGCCTGATGGGAGAACTTGCATAAAATACTTGGAAGTTAGAACAGCGAACATTCTTTCAGACGCAAATAACGGCTATTAGGACAGTCTTTCTCTGAAATAGCTCGATGTCCTCAAAAGTATTGTTCCCACTGTAAAACCTGCATCCTTCCTTCGCCACTGCTCTTCCAGGCGATGCTAAAGAGTTCACAGAAAAGTTGTAAGCAGAAGTTCAGTTTGTGACCATTTGCTAATAGCTGCTCTGTACTGGAACCGATCCTACCGGAAACAGTGGCTCCTCGGAACATACATATGTTAGCCGTGCCTGTGGCAGTGATCTCAATCCTTCTTGCTTGTCGGAACCATCTGGAAGCCCTCACCAGAGAGGCGCAGATTTCATTGTTCTGACATGACACCGGGCACGACCATTTTTTTTTTTTTTTTTTAAGATACACATTTCCTTATATGCCTCCGGAACTGAGGACCACTGGCCTAGAGATACGAAACAAGGTGAAAAGTATTAAAGAAGCAAACTTTATTGAGCACTTATTATGTGTCAGGCACGACGGTTGAAGGTGGCGGGGTCAGGCACGACGGTTGAAGGTGGCGGGTTTTCCCCCGGCGGAATCCTAAGACCTTATGTTCTGTGGCTGGGACTGCGAGCAGACAGAAGATGAAGCCCTTGTGAAAACCACGTGTGCACACACTTCTTTAGAAGGAGCTGAACACCTCTATTTGATTCAAGCAAGACCGCGGCTCTCAACGCGACCTGCAACAGCAACGAGTAAATCTGCAACCGACAGGGGAGGATCAGCGACAGCGAGAGACGTGAGCCCAGAGATTGTACATTAAAGAAATCTCTGCAATGCCAGGATATTGACAAAGGTACATGCTGATAGCCAAGGAGCATGTAAGGATTTTAATACCACATTTCCAGTTACGGCTAGAGAAGCGTAATTAGGTACTAAATTACAATGTTAATATTCATTTGAACAAATAAGTTCTTGTAGTAGTAGCATCAGGGCCCTGGGAGGGCAGCAGAGGAGTTGATTAAACGGGCAGAGAGTTTCTTTGAACAAGTTCCGTCCTGGGCTCTGTGAGGTCAGCTGCCAGCAAAGTCTTCAGAGGTCAAGACGTGGACCGTGAACGCTGGCGTTTCTTCTTTTGTAGCTCCACTCAAGGGATTCAGAACCAAGCAAGGAAATATACGAGGCATTACAATTCCGGCTGGTAACACAGGCTACAAAGGAGTGGGGAAAGGGACCCCCCCCCCCCTAGGAGAAGGGCGTGCTGAGCAGGGCCATCCAGAGCAAGTACCGGGCTCCACTCAGCACACAATTCTTCTAGCACAAATAGAAGGAGAGGGTCTTGCTGAGGTGTCCTATTACGGTTGACTTATCTATTTATACCTCCAGTTGATCCAAAAGAGTCTGAGGTGGGGCTTACCTGCCATCTGCAAGAAAATTAAAGTGGCTTCCTAAAAGGGGCAAACACAAATTGAAGTAATGAGAAGGGAGGCGGAGGGAGGGGGGGTGAAGAGAGAAAGAGAAAGGAAACACACGCACGCACGCACGCCGGCAACTACACATTCTAGTGCCTTCTGAAGTCCCAATCTTAAACGGAGCACAGCTCCCCCCTCGCCCATCTCCCCAGGACTCTGTTGTCTTCCTACCCAATTTCTCTGGGCTTCACACAAAAGGTAAGATCCCAGATTGAGCCATCCTAATTAGCTGGGGCCCTCTCCTGTACGTAACAGAAGCAAATCTGTCACCAGCCGTGGAAAACAACCGTCCTCAGCTCCCCCAAACCCCAAAACGCATAAGCTCAGCATTTTAACTGGCTGGGGTAAGAGCCATTATTTTCATTAATGGAGCTCATTTTTATTTTATTGAGCTTTTTTACTATCAGATTAAAAGCATGTTTTTATTGTAGTTTTTTTTCTAATGCAATCTTGGATGAGGTGCTCAGAATGAATGGAATAGTTATTGTTTTAATTATTTTTTCATTTTGTGTTTTTATTTCGTTTGTTCCTTTTATTTACTACTCTTAAGTTTGCCGTAATAACGCGGACGCAGGGTGCTTGGAGGCCTCCAGTCAGCACCCCGCGGTGGTTTGCATCAGCTAAGGGCCAGGGAACAGGAAAAGCACCAAGGCACGGATGCTTTCGGAACCCGGGGCCAGCACAGCCCCACAGCTCAACCGCACTGACACGCACAGCACACGGGCAGAGCCAAGGGCATGGGGCCCTCGGGGCCGAGAGGAGAAACGCAAGGTGTCATTCCAGGTCACTTCTGCTCCTGCTCCTGTGCTAAGGCACCCTGGCTCCCTAGGGGAACAAAGGGTGGGAAGGAGTCTCAAGATAGATAACCACGGGGCGTGTTACCCGTTCCCAGCCACGCGTCACCGATGCCGAGGTCCACATGGGATCCTGCAACAACCCACAAGCTATTAACACGCAGAGACACTTAGCTGCACCCGGACCCTTGTTCCCTGCCCATGAATTGGGGGGGGGGGTGGCGAGGAGGGAAGGAAACAATGCCTTTCCAGAAAGTCCAGATGTCTCTGCAACCTGGTAGGCTTGGGCAGGGCAGGATTTCTAGATTCTTACTTAGCACTAGAAGTTGAGCGTGTGGGTTGTCTGTCCAGGGACAGGCTGCAAAAGTGCTGGGCACGTAAATGCCGACGACTGCTGATGAAGGGCTCCTTTGGGCCACTTATATGCCAATACTCTTGATCTCTCTGGATCTGATTGAAGAAAGCATCCACCCTCTAGACAGAGGCCCAGGCCTGTGCTTGGGTTTGCCAAGGGCCCTCACTTGGCCTGTGGCCTCACGCCTCCTTCCCTTTACTGATTCCCTTTGCCTGCCTGGCCCCCATTCCCAGGGTGGTCCCCACAGTATGCTCTAGGTCCCCAACCCTGTGAAGGTAAATCTAGCAAAGCTCCAAAGATCATGGTAGTGCCCCCCTCAAGGGCTTCCCGTCACATTCACAATAAAATCCAAACTCCTTGGCAGACCCCACGAGGCCACCGCGATCTGCCCCGTCCTGTCCTCTGGGCTCATCTGCCCCATCTCTGCCCCCACTGACCTCACTCCAGCCACACCAGCCACCCCTGAAGGAGCCCGGGCCGCTCCCTACCTGGAGGTCCCCCCATACCTTTGCATGACTCTATTCCTAGAGGGGATTCCTGGAGAGGCCACCTGCTCACCACCTGCCCCCCTCCCCATGGCTCTCTGCTCGCCAGCCTTCATTCCATCATGGTATCCATCACTGTTGATATTAGGCCCCAAGACTAGGGTTCTGATGGAACTCTGCACCTACAAGCTCTATGACCTTGAGCAAGCCACCTAGCGCTTCCGTGTCCCACCCCCCTCATCTGAAATGAGAGAAGATCGTCCTGCCTCATGCCCTGGGTATAAGGATGAAACAAGACGATACTTGTAAAGGGCTTAGAATGGTGTTTGGTAGAGAGAAGGGTTGGCCATTGACTTTTCTATGATTGCATTCATATAATATTTCATTATATAATTTGTAGAGTTTACAGTTACTCTGTAAGAACAATTAGTAGGAGTGCGTTACTTCCTACGAACCGATGCAGAAGCCTGCACACAGCTCAAACTAGGGATCGAACTGCATGTCCCAACCTGTATTCCACATCGTGCCAGGAAAATGACACACTGTTGTGTGTGAGTGCTGAATATTATCTTTTCATAAATGTATGACCCACAACTTTGCCACCTCCTGCAACACTCTTTATTTATTTATTTACTTCTTTCTTTCTTTGTTTATTTAATTTCTATTGATTTTGAGAGAGAGAATGCTCATGCATGCGCACAAGTGGGGACAGGGCAGTGGGGGGGGGGGGGAGAGAGAGAGAGAGAGAGAGAGAGAGAGACCCAAGTGGGCTCCACACCGACAGTGCTCAGGACTCAGTGTGTGGAGCCCTGTCGTGTCAATGCAGGGCTTGAACTCAAGAACCGTGAGATCATGACCTGAGCCGAAGTTAGATGTTGGACAGTTAACTGACTGAGCCACCCAGGCACCCCAGCCTGTAGCACTTTATACAATTAAGTATGTGCCAAATGGCAAAAGTAACCAACGAAAGTCTGCCTACCTTAAACCAAGAACCCCCGGCCTGACGGGCCCCCATTTTGTTCCAAAATTCTCAGGCAAATATAATTGTATTTGCTATGGGATTCCCATGTGCATCACGGAAGGACAGCTTTCCAGCCCACAGAGCCGGCGACTTCATGGCTCGTGCTCAGAATGCCACAGAGCCCTGGCACCTGAGTGTGGGTCATGATAAATGGACTTCTTTTGTTTACATAACTTAAATCTGGGAATCCTTTCCAAGGTAGGAGAGCTCCTTCCAAATTGTCTTTAGGAACAAATAGTTCCTTAGATGCAGTGTTCACTCCCCTTAAGGGAACGGCATCTTTTGTTAAATGGAATTTGTTTCTAGAATTCAGTGCTGGGATTTTGTGCAACTGTGCTCCAGATTCTGTGTCGTTATCACCACTTTTAAGCCCTTTCTTTAAATTATCTTTGATTATTATAATATATATCACTTCGAAGTTATATGATTGTAATAGATATAGTTCAAAGATAAAATGATATAAAAAAGGTCACAGCAAAAGGTTTTGTATCCATTTTTTCCTTCTCATTTCTCCTACCCCAATATTTTCGTTCAGTTATTTTTTTCATATTTTATTTTTCTGTTTCTAAAAAGTAGTTGAAAAATGAATGGCATATCCTCAGATGAGACCTGATTCTTCTTATTTTTACTATGGATCGACCTTTGTTTATTTGTTTATTTTATTTATTTTTTATTTAAAAATAAGTTGATACACACTGTTACATTAGTAACAACGTAATGGTTGGACAAGTCTATGCTTACCACAAGTATAGCTACGATCTGTCACCATGCAACACTATTACGATACCATTGACCTTTCCCTATGCTGTGCCTTTCACCTCTGTGACTTATTCATTCCGGAAATGGAAGCCTGTATCTCTCAATCCCTTCACCCATTTTGCCCATCCCCCCCTCTCTTCCCTCTGGCTACCACTGCGTTCTTTTCTGTCTTTATGGTCCACTTCTGCATTTTCTTTGTTTGCTTTGTGTTTTTAGATTCCACATACAAGTGAAATCATATGGGATTTGTCATTCTCCACCTGACTTTTCTCACTTAGCATTATGCCTTCCAGGTCTATCCATGTTGTTGCAAATGGCAAGGTTTCATTCATTTTTATGGCTGAGTAATATTTCATTGTGTGCGTGTGTGTGTGTGTGTGTGTGTGTGTGTGTATCATATCTCCTTTATCCATCCGTAGAACATGTTTTGAGAAATGACCTATATGAATCAAAGGAGACAATAAATAAAGTTAATGATTCAACATTTATTAAAAAGTGAACATTTGTGGATTTTTAAAGCATCATGTACCTTCCCTTTGTTTAGACACAAAATAAAGTGGTCTGTCTCAGCAGTATTCTGTTGGTTTCAGGAGGGCTGGAAGGAAAGAGCTGAGTCCTGTGTTCACCTTGACTCTGGAAATTCCTGATTCATCCACTGGAACTTAAATGGCAACAAACCAGTCACGTGCATCAGGCACTTCTGGGCATTGACTTTTTCTTCACGCATTTCCCCCTAGGCAACAAGCATTTATTGACTATCTACTGTATGCCCACAACTTTCTCTGTGCTGGGGATACAACAGTATAAAGACAGTCCGAAGCATCTTCCACCAAAACCTTCTTGACCACCTGCCCCAGGGCTGTTGTGCTGGCCTGGGGACGCAGCAGTTTCTCTCACTTTTATCCCTTTTGTGAGGTCAGCAAAAACGTAAGTGATGTAAGGTCAGCAGTGACAGGTGTCAGAGTGAAAATGAAAGCAGGTGAGGACACAGAGAGCCATGGGGGGAGGTAGAGGGTGAGCAGGTGGCCTCTCCAGGAATCCCCTCTAGGAATAGAGTCACGCAAAGGTATGGGGGGACCTCCAGGTAGGGAGCGGCCCGGGCTCCTTCAGGGGTGGCTGGTGTGGCTGGAGTGAGGTCAGTGGGGGTAGAGATGGGGCAGGTGAACCCAGAGGACAGGACGGGGCAGATCGCAGTGGCCTCGTGGGGTCTGCCAAGGAGTTTGGATTTTATTGTGAATGTGACGGGAAGCCCTTTGAGGGGGGCACTACCATGATCTTTGGAGCTTTGCTAGATTTAACTTCGCAGGCCAGACGTGTTGGGGACCTAGAGCATACTGTGGGGACCACCCTGGGAATGGGGGCCAGGCAGGCAAAGGGAATCAGTAAAGGGAAGGAGGCGTGAGGCCACAGGCCAAGTGAGGGCCCTTGACAAACCCAAGCACAGGCTTCAGCCAGTACATGCTGGTTGCCGATGGCCAGATCTCCCAAGTTTTCAAGGGAATCCACAAACCCTCATTTCAAATTTGTGAACTTAGAAAGAATCCTATGCACAGACCAAACGCAC